CGTCGGTTTGTTTGAAAAAACAAATATACGCGATTTAAATCCGGAAAAACTAGTTTCATTTCCTATGACAGTATCGATTATTTATGCAATAGTCAGGACCGATAGTATCGATTATTTAAGCGATAGTCAGGCTCGATACTATCGATAGTATTGCAAGTATTCAATATTATTGCTATTTTTATGCTATCGATAGGGATATCGTTATTAAAGATGATTTTCAAGGTCAACTATCGATAGTGAAACTCGATTTTATTGCAACACAAGTGTGATTTTTTACAAGGATGAATATACCCCCTCTATTTTGTGTAGAAACCATTTGAAACAAGTAACTGTCATAGTATGACACTTAAAAATACTGATGGCGCTTACACCAGACAATAATGTTGATAAACCAATAAATTAATAATAATAATAATCTTAATTTCTCTCCACTGTTACACAAATTGAGTACAAAAACATGCTGGAATGTAAACTGGCTGAATAAATCTATGTCTTAGGGCTTCCAGGTTCAACACAAACTCATTGCTTTATTAAATTTACCGTACTTAGGGTCGTATTGTAGAACTCTACTCAATGCTCAAGTCAGGATTGCACTGGAAACACAAGCACTGGAAATACGAACCTAATGGCAGGGAGTTGAGTATGATTTCGAGTGCTTTAAACCATACTCAAATCCTGACTTGAGCATTGAGTAGAGTTCTAAAATACGACCCTAAATCTATGAAATTTACATTACAATGAATTATCAAATTATATGTTTTATTATCCCCAAAGTGCAAAGAATCACTTACAGACTTGGTTTATTTTTCTAGTTTTTTATTTATTAATTAATATTATTATTTTAATGCACATGTAAGGCGATAAAGTGGTTTTGATTTGGGAACAAAATTCCAGACTGCAGTATGACTGATTTATAAGTTATTATTGAAAATACAAATAATTTAAATACAGAAATAATGAAATATGTTTGTTTTTATTACAGCTTTTCATGCGCTTGCATGAAAATTTGCCAATATTAAAATCTGGTTGAAAACTGGGCATTCTTTCTTGCAAGTAAATATTTATCAATGTGGTTGTCAACATTTTCAACCCCTTTTCACTACCGAATGAATGGAACAATTTTGAAAAAATTAAACAAATTAATAGAACAGACTCATTACAGTAGTATGTATTGTTTATTCTGCACTTTAAATTGATAATTATATGATCCGTGGTTAATAGTCCCAGCTCCTGTATTAGTACACCTATTCTAGCCTACAAAGATAATTATAATGTAGTTTCAAAATATTTGTGTATAGAAAATTGCAGCTAAGAAAAGTCAAAGCATGGATGAACAAAATAAACCAATGTTTAACTACTTTGACCAGAAGAGAAAAAAGTGGATTGCACATGGCATGAGGGGCTTAAGAAATCAAAATTCACACAAGACATTCAAACTCACCCGTTTCTCATCATTAGAGAGTGCTCTCCAACGGGAAGCCAACTGCCTAGTTACTTCTTGCTTGGTGGGCTCAGTTCCAATCTCAGAGTTAGCCTCTGCTACCACAACAGGTCGTTGCTCTTGGCAGAATTGGAAGAAAGCATTGCACGGCTTTTTTGGTGCATTTGGATCTCTTTCAGGCTGAAATTATAAAATAGGTAGCTGTCAGTTTTATAGGCTTGTATGTACATTGTACAATAATGCCAACATGTACTCCACTGGTTTGCTTGTAGTGAATTGACTTATTTCAAGATAACTTCACGAAGAAAGACAGTTTAGATAGCCCTCTACCTGTCACTATTTTTTTACATTATTACTGAGTGCATATCTCTACTTTTAGCACATTAAGTGTGTTTAAGGATGCAAGATCAAATAACCAATAAACAATAACTAAAGCAAGACAGACAAAGACTGGCTCAACTTTAGAATACGTGACTTCGAGTTGGGCGTTCAAATTAATTTTGGAGATAGACCTATTCAAAACGAACCCCTCCACAAAGTTTACGTCGCCAAAGGTTTTCGAGAACATAATTTTTGAAAATCATGAAAATTAAAGCAAAAAAACGCATTCGACATCTACCTAATGCAAAAATTGTGTGAAAAAAGCACGCTGACGCAATTTAATGTTTTGCGTTTTGATATTCCACTATCATGACATCATCTGTTGCTGAAATTTTGAAAATATATGTATGTTTTATTTGTTTTCCAAACATTAATGCTTATCTAATACCATCTAAATTATATTTAAAATATTATTTCAGAAGGTTACTTCGAAATAGTAGTAATAATTCAAAAACAATTTTGTATTTTAACAATAAAACGCAACGTCATTTATCACGTTTGTTTTTTTCTTATTTTTCTTGGTTTTTCGCGGTTAGCATTTTAACCATTTACAGTATTTTTACTGCGTATTTATGTTGCTGTTTGTCGTGCATAAAGATTGTTACGTTTTTTAAATTATAAATGCGGATGTCCTGGATTATTTAGGTTAAGTTTTTTTTATACAAACGCGGAAGTCCTTTTGGGCAGAAACAAATTGGATTATTTAGGTTGTTAGGTTTTTATTATACTATCACGGAAGTCCCTCTGGGCAGAAACTAATTGGATTATTTAGGTTAAGTTAGGTTTTTTTATACAAATGCAGAAGACCCTCTGGGCAGAAATGAATTGGATTATTTAGGTTAAGTTAGGTTTTTTTTTATACAAATGCGGAAGCCTCTCTGGGCAGAAACCAATTGGACAGATATAGGTAGACATTGGAGTCTGTGTGTGCACTAAACATCAAAATATATAAGATTTTGAGGTTATTTTTCACAAATTTTTTTCTCAAAAACTATCAATGTTCTTAATTTGAAACTTCGGGTGGGGTTCCCCCTCCCCATCTCTTATTCCCACATTTTTTAAGCTTTTATTCCGTGCATTTGCGAAAATGTATAGTTTTGTGGTATTTTTTTTCAAATTTTTATAAATTTATATCTTGAAAACTTCAAACATCCTAACTTTGAAACTTTGCAGGGGGAGTCTCCTCCCCTCCCTCAATAAACGTCAAGTTTTCTAAGCCTTCCCAAAGACTACCTTGTCAGCTTTGCTTTTTCTCTTAGGCCCAGGTTTTTTAGGTCCTCCAGTTGCAGGTCTGTCCACTTGTTTGCCACCAGTGGGTGCCTTCCCACCAACGCGACCTGCTCGGGGCACCACCTCAGGCTTCGTATCGATTTCTATTGTCGCTGTTCTGAATGGATCTCCGTGACTATCCAACGTTTCCACTAACAGCATAATATCCTTACGATACCGCCTTGATATTTTCTTCACTTCGTGTATTCTGTAAAAAAATTACTACTGAAGTCGAGTTACACTTGACGACGCGCAATAATACCAAACTACGGTTATTAAAACACAAACCTATTCAGTATTCGCTCGTTATCCTGCTGTAGCACCTCGCATCGTTCTAGTAGCAATTGATATTTGCGCCTATAAACTTCCTCCTCCGGTGGTAAGCTCACCATATCATCGGAGTCGTCAGAAATATTCGGGTTATTCTGCTGGACTGTCATTTTAATTTATTTCACAACACAAAGTTCAACGCGAACGAATTTCTTTTTATTGACCTGTCAGTTCGTTTCGTGCATTTTGTTACGGTTAATTGTATAAAGTTGGCGTTCATGGATTAATAGAGGGAGACAAACATATTGATGACTTACAAACATTCTGCAAATACATATCTAATCGCGTTTTCCTCCTCGCTATGTGATTTTGTCTAGTTATCATTTTGAATCAAGTGGGTAAATTTTTCGTAATATCCAATGTAATATCCACAAAATCCATTTGAAAAAAAAGAAGTTTCTGTTTATGAACTGTTTGTTAAAATAATTTTTTAAGGTCTAAAAACCAATGATTTGTTACTTATAGGCCTTAGAATAATAACGCATAGAAGGATAGTTTCATATCAAACGAACTGTCACAAGTGAGGCAAAAACCAAATTCATGTAGGCGTAAGCAACTTGTAACTACGCTCGTCGGCACGCACACAAATATACTAATAATCATGCCATGGAATAACATTTTCCTCAAAAGTGGGGAAATTGTATCTTGCTTAACTCATCATTAAGTTAAAGGTGCCTACAGATTTGCCCGACAATGTCGATCAGGTGCCTACAGATATGCTCGGTTTTGTCGATGAAAAACGAATATAGCACTTATTTGTAAATCCAAGATGGCGGTCACGATTTTTCAAAATATGCTATATGGGTATCATTTTCGAGGTACTTGGGGGTGCTCATGACGAATATGGCACTCATTTCTAAATCCAAGATG